AGGTACATTTTAACGTTTAGTATGGAATAGATATACTATATTATATACATATATATTATATATACATACGTATGATGAGTTGTTATGGGTTGTACGACGTGTTTTTTTTTTCTTATGAACGAGATAATCTATCGCGGTTAAAGGTAGCCTATGTCACTAACCAACCCTCCAACTATCTCCACACAAAAAATCACGCCAATCCGTCACTCCGTTTCGACGTGAAAGAAGGACAAACAAACAAACACACTTTCACTTTCACATTTATAATATTAACATAATTAATGTAAGTATAAATTCCACTTGTGTCACATTTCGATAGACTAGACTTTAATAATCAATTTGCCAAAAGAACAGTTAAGAGCAATTTTTCCATAAGAAAATACAAGCAAAAAGGTTTCATACCTTTTTCCTTTTCCCATAAGAAGCTAATATATCAGAGTTTAGAAAAGTTTATATCATATATTCTATAACCTATACATATAATAAAATTGTAACTAAGTCGAGTCTGTACATTAAATATTTTTTGGAAAATCTTATTGAAATAGACATTATTATAGATACAGAGTCTGAATCTGTAGTTTTTAGAATTTTTGTTTGCTTGTCTGTCTGTCTGTTACCGCATCACGAGGAAACTACTGGATGATAGCTGGTTATCCGGGTCAACATATAGAATACTTTTTACCATGGGAAAATATCTCACTTCTGAGAAAAAATCCAAAAACAGCGTTATAAGATTATACTAATATGTAAAACTTAAGAATTTGGTTTTTGGTCATCTGAACGCGGGCGGAACCGCGGGCAATGCTAGTATTATATAAAATATGAATAACGAATCAATTACTCACCAACAAAGTTACTTGTACGTTATAAATAATAAAACGCTCTACGTACGAGTAAAAGGTATTTGCTAGCTGAAATAATGCTGTATATATAAAAGATGCTTTGACATTTTGTTCGGAAAATTCAAATACATTGTTCGTATACGTTCAGGGTCAGTATTACTCGTACGTTGTAAAAGAACTCAGGTTAATTTATGCATCCATCTCATCTACTTTAACTACATGTTTAACCGTCCCAGTGATAGTATGTACGATTAGCACGTACGGCTGTAGATCCAGAGGTCCTGGGTTCGAGTCTCAGGTCGGGCTAAGTATAGCTATTGGGTTTTTGTGTCAAGAACTGCTTATTAACAGCCTTTAAATAGGAAGTAAGATAGCACTCATGTGTCTCGGAGAGCACGTAAATTATATTTTTTGAACAAAAGCATTGCTGTTGTAATGATAAATAATAGTTATCGATTTTATATTCTAAGCTAATTAGCTTCAAATATAACGTACACTAGTTTGGTATAATGAATTCGAATTAAAGAATTCCTTTATTTCCGAGTTTCTGAGTTAATTTAATATTACGTACGTACATACGTGGGATAGATTTGTTTTTGGTTTTTCTAGAGACGAACCCGAGCGAAGCGAGGGTGTACCACTAGTATAAAATAACAATTCATTTTAATAGCCAATCTTTATGACCTTATTAAGCTAATTAATTACAAATCTTGATAAATTTTGGCGGAAATCATAAAGTCATTAACTTAAATCCATTTAAGATTAAAAAGTCATGTTATTATAAAAATCCATCAAAATATATTCTAAAATTAATTTCAAACTGTAAATCAGATTTTATTAGGTATCCTATTTTAATCACTAATTTTATAATAATGTGCTGCTTTTAAATAAAATTAGATATTCTTACAACTATATATTACTGATATTATAAATGTGAAAGTTTAGATGTTTGGATGTTTGTTACTCAATCACGCCAGAACGGCTGAACGGATCTGAATGAAATTTGGCACAAAGATAGATTATAGTCTGGAATAGTACATAGGATTTTACCTCGGAAAAATGTACGGTTCCAGTGGGATAGACTTGTTTTTGTCTTTCCAGAGGCGAACCCGAGCGAAGCGAGATTGAACCGAATATTGATATATTATGTTACCAATATTTTAAACTAGACGGCAGAATAATCGGGTACCCATAATTATATACATACAAATGAGGTTACACATATGAAGCAAAGGCAAAAGTCTAGAACACCGCTGCAATTGTTTTGGAACGAAATTGTATGCTTACATTAACAGTTAGTAGTTTGTGAAAACACTTTAAGCTGTATACAAATTTTATATTACTCGAATGCGATGATTAAATTAGTTTTGCGAGAAAGTTTTTACCCCGCATATATTCGTAACCGAAAATTGAAGTTCACTCATTAATATGCTATGAAGCTTGGCAGACCAGTTTGGAATTTTACATACTTTAGTTGGTGTTTTATCGTTATATTTACTAAATTTTCCTACTAATTAATAGATTGTGGTAAAAAGAAAGTTTTCAATGAAAATGTATCGTTATTTACGCTCCCTACACTGTGAAAAAATTTTGGATTCACCATAAAAGAAAAAATCTTGTTACAAATCCTCAGTCCAATTTCAAATTTGAAACGAAAAACTAAAAACGTGTATGAGTTCTGGAACAAATGTTGACAACTGTTGAATACAAACTTGGCTAGGCACGAAAGCGAGCTCGTCCGTGAAAGCAAATTGGGCGGTTAGACTAAATAGACATTTAAAATTGTAATACTATTTCTTGTATTATAAATTGCTTGTAGATCTTTATGCTGGGGTTAACAAGGGAGAAAAAGAGAGATAAATGGGGAGAGAGAGAGAGAGAGAGAGAGAAAGTGAGAAATAGAGAGAGAGAGAAAGTAATAAAAAAGCTCTAAATAAGCCGGGTTGAATAATTCAGTACCTTTTTCTTCTCGGTTTGTCAACCAGAGTTCTTTTTTTTTGGTTTTAATGCTATTGGCGATCTTATGTGGTATTAATAATTATGATTATGGTCTAATTTCGAAACTATTCGATATTAGTAAAGATTGCATATTGGGTTAAATGTTATGATACTACGAGTAATTTCTGCACTGCTATAATATCTTATTAAGACAAAGTACTGCGTTAGATACCCCCACTCCATTTGCCATTCAAATCTATACATATAATAAAATTGTAACTAAGCCGAATCTGTACATTAAATATTTTTTGGAACATCTTATTGAAATAGACATTATTATCGATACAGGGGCCAATTCTATAGTTTTTATCATTTTTGTTTGTCTGTCTGTCTGTTACCGCATCACGAAAAAACCACTGGAGGGATTTTGATTAAATTTGGTATGAAGGTAGCGGGTTATCCGGGTCAACATATAGAACACTTTTTACCGCGGGAAAATATCTCCTTTCTGAGAAAAAATACAAAAACTGCAATGTAAGAGTATACTAATATGTAAAACTTAAGAATTTGGTTTTTGGTCATCTGAACGCGGGTGGCACCGCGGGCAATGCTAGAAAAAAATAAATGTTTTCTGCGATCCTGTAGTAAAAACGTATGCATTTTCGATTAAAAGGTTTACTTAATATTATATGTAACTGAATTATAGTATTGTAAGTTTATAAATATAAAATAAAATAAAGAATGAATGTAAAAATAAAAAATTAAAATGATTGTTTCTAGTATTAATGTTAATACCTTTTTTTTAACGTTGGGAAATGCATTTACGCACGACGTGTGGGACTCACCGGCGTAATACAGCCAGTACTACCCACTAAAACCCAACAAAACCTTCCCCCGTCTTAATGAGGCGTCGCAGGATCGCTTACGCATTCAACTACTACGCCTCGACGGCAGGTCTGCCGAAACAGACCACCACAACCATGGGGTTGCTCCAAGGTCTACTCTGCTATCAGAGAAGTACCAGGAGCAACCCGCATGGTACACCGCCCTCCGAAGAGGGCCACCTCCCACCGCCCACCGAAGAGGGCAACCTCCATGTGCGTTTCTTAGCTTCGCGCCCGGTTGGATTGCCGGGCACTACTGAGCCCCCCACCACGACAAGGTGAACGCACATTGGAGGGGGATTAATGTTAATACCTGGGCTGAGTCCGAGTTTCACTCAGCGTTTTTCGGAAAAGATATATTTTTTTAGAAAAGTTACCTTTATAAATAAACTTAAAAAGCAAAAATTGATCAAAATAGAACCGTTTCCGAGATAAATTTACATATTACGTACACACATTTTTTTGTAAAAAAAAAAATATTATGTTTTAAAACACATAACATTCATACACTTAAAATTAGTTGCTCTAGTCAGGTTATATAGTAATATACGTTTTATAGTTACGTTTTAATAACATTTATGAGATGATATGAGATGTTGTTCCACAGTAAAAAGTATCCTAAATGTTGACCCGGATAACCAGCTATCTTGCTACCAAATTTCATCAAAATCTGTTCAGTGGTTTTCTCGTGATACGTTCCCAGTTAGACAGGCAGACAAAAATTCTAAAAACTCTAGAGTCGGCGTCTGTATCGATAATAAATAATGATGAGTATTTCAATAAGATTTTCCTACAAATATTTAATGTACATATTTGACTCAGTTAGAATTTTATTATACATATAGTAGACACACAAGACAAAGGATAAAAAGAAAAGTTTTATCCTTATATCATTATTGAAAGAGCATTTTTTAGGGTTCTTATGATATTATTTTATTTTATTATACTTACGATGTAATATCATTCATTGCGTGTAATTATTATTTAATTAAAACGTTATTTCTATCATTTTTTTTAAATTAACCATACCTGTATAATGTTTTATTAATATATAAAATATTGAAAGTTTGTAAGTGTGTATGAGAGTCAGTTTAAATGTTTGACATAGATACTAAATGACTACTTTTATTAATCTATGGTAGATAAGCGAAGACGCGGACATAAATTAGTATAATTAAATAACTATAGGTGCGTTTTCATATGTAAGAAGTGTTTTGTAGAGATGTAATTGGAAAGCAATTTTAAAATATAATTTTGATACTTATTCCAAAAAAAGGGGTATATATCTGAACGTAAAAAAATGGTAAATAATTAAATATTCTTTGTCATTGTCCAGTGATAGCAATCGCACACAACATCACATATTTAGAAGTACCACAGTATGGAGACCCACGACACGATGCCCACCTCGTCTGTCACTACGTCAGTGAAAAAGGTGACCCGCCACTCCATTCAGTCAAGTGGTATAGAGATAACAATGAAATATTCCGATACACGCCAGAACAACAGGTAAGCATAATGTACTGTCAAATAAATTGATATTCAAAAAACATTTTTAAAAACAAGCTTTTATATCATATAAATCGTGTAATGTAATAAATAATTTATTTTTTATTTTTGAAGTATTTATTCGTATTCTTCTCTGTAAAACCTTTCGTTTTATATCCATATCATGGGGGTGCATACATAAAAAAATCACGCGTATTTCCTATTTCTTTTTGTTCGTTTGGATTTAAATGAACACATCTTAAATTCTTTAGGATTTATCTAAACTTGTTGAATGAGGGTAGGAGAGATGTAATGTTAGATAAATGTTATCTTTTGAACAACTTTAACATATTAAAATAAAAGGATATGTAAATTTAATATAATGTTATTTTCTTTTCAATAAACATGTTAACTTTTTCGAATAACATCCATATCCATACTATTATTATAAATGAGAAAGTGTGTTTGTTTGTCCTTTTTTTCCCGTCGAAACAGAGTGACGGATTGGTGTGATTTTTTGTGTAGAGATTATTGGAGGGTTGGAGAGTTATATAGGATACTTTTTACAGCGGGAGATTTTCTCATTCCCACAAGAAAACACATAATAATAAAACCCAAAAATTATTTATGATCAGAATTCCTTGAAAATTGATATTAATGCTCTTCAATACAATTTAACAAAAACGTGCTTTAGCAGTTAATAAATTCGATTCCTACACGGAATAAGATTTATCATTTAAATATCAGAAGAATATATCTTCTGTATGTTCGCGTGGTAAGCCTCCCAATGCTCACCAAAGTGGGCTTTATAACTTGGCAATCCGGCAGAATTAAGTTAATTAGCCAATGCATTTTTTTTTATTTTTCCTCTTGATATTACAAATATGTAACAGTATGTAGTGTATAAGTACATAATATGTAAGACCACAAAACAAGCTGTATTTTAATAGGTGAAGAGCGGAGTACCAAGTGATATGTCAATATATGGTTCATATTTGTTATAAGGTTTTTAGATATAAGTCTATTATAAACCTTTAAATAATAAAAATAAAAACTAATAAAAAAATGACATAAGAGATGAGAGAGAGTTTTATGTGAACCAAAATTCGATCGAAAAAATGCTAGATACACAATCAGCGACAAAAAATGTCCTCACCGAACGAGCGCTCATTTAAACGTTCGAGCGCGCTTTTAATTTAAAAAAATTATTGTGAAAACAACTTTAAGCATTGCATTTAAGGTTCAATTTATATCGTTGTATATTTATTTCAACTAGAATAATTACCCAAACACAATTGGTGACAGTTTTAAGTAAACTTTTGCATTGGATTGTGTATCTAGTACTTTTTTGATCGATGGAACCAAACCTTAAGAATTTCAATAGTATTTTATATCATATATGGGCAACCAAATATCACATTTTAGCAAATAAAATGCATATTTGTGTAATCGTTGTAATATAAAAATTATTTGCATGATAAGCATATCTTTATATATATAATTCTTCTGTGAGTGTGTATGTCACTGAACTTCTCTCAAACGACTGGACCGATTTTGATGAAATTTTTTATATGTGTTCAAGGGGATCTGGGAATGGTTTAGATTCACAATTTGAATAATAATTTTCATCAAAAAAAATATTAAAAAAAGTTTGAAATTTTCAAATTAAAGACGTGTAGACAGGACAACGTCTGTCGGGTCCGCTAGTCTACATATATTATATTGGCTTTCGATTCGTATGGAATGCCAAAACTATTTATTATATATGAAAAAGGGGGTTATCAAATCCACATGTATTAAGTAATATTATTGAAACTGCAATGCGTGCTTTTAGCACGGCATAAAAATACTCTTTTAAACTTTCCAATAACCTTGACTTCAGTCGGTATAAAATGATTACATGATATGCTACGCAACTTCTCCTAGTTCCTTTTTGCCAAATATAAATATTTCGGCCTTTTAATGATTTTTACGCATAACTTCGGGTACAATAAGCAAATCGGCCTACCGGAAACTTAGAGAAATATCTTAAATGTGTATATTTTTACAGCCACCTACCAGGACATTCAACACGACTGCAGGGGGTGTTTCCAGGGGATTCTGCAACGTACATAGTTGCTCAATTAGCGTTGTACTGCCTAAAAGATATAACACTAGGATTTCCTTCACTTGTGAAGTGTCGACGGAAGGTCCAAGATTCGCAGTTGTCAATCAAACAAAATACTTGACAGTTGCTGGTAAGTTTATTTATTAACTACCCAAGTAATAGTTAAAAAACTGCCTCGGTGGTCTAGTGGCTAATATGTCCAACTGATCCAGAGGTCCTGGGATCGAATCCCGGGTTGGGCCAAGTTCAGTTATTGAATATTTTTGTCAAGAAGGACAAGGAGGAAGTTAACGTTGATTCACACGTTAACTTCCTCCTCGTGAATCTTGTGCCTCGAAGAGCACATAAAGCAGTCGATCCTGCGCCTTAACTCTCACTGGTCATGTTGAGTAGTCGTCCCACTGGAGTATGAGAATGACAGGAGTAGAGAGTGCATTTGTGTTTGTGCCCATACTTGTGCATTATAATACCTCCAGCAACGAAATCGCACGAGAGAACAGTAATAATTAATAATTGTAATTGAGACAAAGTTACATCAAATATACTAATTACTAATACTATAACTTTATTTATATATGTATGTATATTTTTGAAACATTTGTATTCAAAGGACGTTTGAGACGTAGTAGAAGCAAGCACTCTAAAATTTCGATCTGCTTATTCTGCGTGCTTCACTTTACGTACACGTGGGATTTTTAGCGAACGAGTATTAAATATAAAGAAATGGACAGATAAAGGTAGTAGATAATTGATGATGAAATGTATGGCTAGTGCTTATTAATATTCGATTGAATTATTATTGAACAGGGTTGTTCTTTCAATTTAGTTAGAGTGCCAATAAAATATATGATTTCATTTAGTCTCTGTTCACCTCTTTCTCCCTTTCCATAAAGATAATTCTGTGCTGTTTAATTAAGAATATTTATTTCTTTCTTAGTAACCATGAAAGAAGACCCCATGATAACAGGAGTTCCAGGAAGTGTGCAGTTAGGTGAAGATGTCTTGTTAAATTGCACGACTAAACCATCAATGCCAGCTGCTAACATATTGTGGTACATCGACGGAAGACAAGAAAAGGTAAATTATATTCCTTACAAGTACTACCGTACCAATTTTTTTTTGTTGACGCTGGGGAAACCCATCATGGGGACCCTACCGGCCGTCAATGGGTAGGGTACTGTGAGACTCCTACTCACTAAAACCCACAGCGGAACCCATTCGCCGCAGTGCAATGGGATCGCTTGTGCATTCACTACAACACCCCTGCGGTCGGCCCGTACCCCGCGCGCCATCCTCTCCAAGTGCTACCGTACCGTACCAATACCAGCAGTACCAATACGAGTACAGGCTTGATCTAGTACAGCGGTAGTAACAAACCGAAGTAAGCAACTTATAGTTTGTAATTAGCTTATTTTGAGCTTATTGTAAAGAAATGTAACTTATACTTATAGAGTTTTAATTATTTATTTATTTAAATATTATTAATCCATTTGAGATACATGCTTAAACCTTATTATCCTGGTTTTCTTATGTTGAGAGCACTAGATTAGGGACTGCCACGAACGAAGAGTGATTGTTGGGTTAAAAAAAGAATATTTGATAGGTTTTCATTCTTTTACATAGCATAAAATTAACGTATCAATGTTATTATTTGTATGTAAATATGTACTTTATGTACTATGACCACTTGGTATGTGGTGACACATCGGCAAGAAAAGTTAATAATTTTCTTTAAAACCCAACGGAACCTTCTCCATGGGATTCTGTAGGATTATTTTCGCATTTAATCAAGACGATCCCACGGTTGGGCTACCGAGGTTGAACTCTTCCCAAACTATAAAGCCGGTTGCTCCCCGACCATGAAGCCCCTCTGCTCGCCCGAGCTAAAATAAAGGGTTTTTTTAAAAAGGTTGTTTTAGAAGTACCAAAAGCCACCCGCGTGGTAAGCCTCCCAATGCTCACCAAAGTGGGCTTTAGAACTTGGCAATCCGGCAGAATTAAGTTAATTAGCCAATGCATTTTTTTTTTTATTTTTCCTTTTGATATTACAAATATATATGTAGAAATATATTTTATTGATTTTCCTTAAATTATTATTAAAATGAAAAAAATAAAAAAAGGTCTATTATTCAAAGTTCTATTAATAAATATATAACAAAACAAGTTTATATCTTAGAAAACATCATATTGTAATTAGCTTTATAACAGCACATCGGAAGGACATCCTTTGAAACAAAAGGAAAGACATTCTTTACCTATTATATTAAAATTGAAGTTTTGCCGAAATTACTTCAGAAGAATTAATAAAATTCATATAAGAAATAGAATTAAGCAGTGGTAACCCAGTGGTAACGCGTTCGCTTGGGAAACCGAGTGAAGCGAGTTTAAATACCGGGTCTCGTACCTCTGATATTTTCATGTGCGAATCATTTCCAACATGAATACCACTTGTCTTAACGGTGAAGGAAAACATCGTGAGGAAACCTGCATGTCTGAGAGAACCTAGAAAGTTTTCAAAAGACATGTGAAGTCCGCCAATCCGCACTTGGCCAGCGTGGTGGACTATGGCCTGATCCCCCTTCGCATTGAAGGGAGGCCCGTGCCAAGCAGTGGGACGTTAAAAAGGGCTGAATACATACACACATATTAATAATTTCACAATAAGGTATTTCTTTGTCGTGTGAATCGTCTGTTATTGGTCAAGAAATTGCTTGGTAGTGACATTTCGATAAGAATCTACACCCAACTAGGTCGCCTCAACTATACTGCAGTCTGTAACTCAATATATCAATTTATTGAACTTCTTTTACTTTTTAATATGAACAATTGAACTAGTCTTGCGAATTAAGTAACTGTTGCTAGTTTCATTTCGTCGGCCTAATTTGTTAACCTGCTAAGTCTGTTTTTGAGCAATTTTACTTTTTATGCCATTCAAAAAGTTTAGACGATTACCTACATTTTGTTAAAGGAATAGCGACGATATCAATATAAAATGGTTAGAAAAATATCAAGGGACCAATGGTATTTTCAGAATTTTGATTTCTAAAAAGGAAATTCCGTTTTTTCTTCATCCTGTAAACTATGCAGAAATATACTTAGCAGGTTAACGAATTAAGCCGACGTTTTCTTATTACTACTAATACTTACGCAATAAGATTTACGCGAATATTTGATTTTATATAAAACTATCTTTTAGGAATTTTTCGCGGATTATTGATTACTGTAAAACATTCGAAACGCCGAGAACCAAAATCAAAATAAATCCGCAAAAAAATCCGAAAAGCTAGTTTTATTTTCATTAACATTTTCATTTTTTTCACCAAAAAATATATTTTGAAAATATATCTAAATGATTAAAATAATTTGTGTGTTTGGTTAGTCAAAAAACAAAATAAAAAATATTTCATTATATTCAATAATATAATTTTAAAAAAATATGATAATACAGAATCTTATAAACAAATTCGCTTTTAAATTCGAGACACATCGGAATTATTCTGATAACGTTTCAAGAATCGTTGAGACGTTGCGATCTTCAAATACATATACTGAATTTAGTATAATGTATAAATAGATGTGACATTCGTGTTATAGTACAGTCTAATATTAACTTATATATTATTATCAAATCTTATTTAAGAAATAGAGCTTTTGATTCATATATGACTAGCATCGCCCGCGGCTCCGCCCGCGTACAGATGACCAAAAACCAAATTCTCAGGTTTTAAATATTAGTATAATCTTACATTGCAGTTTTTGTATTTCTTCTCAGAAATGCTATATTTTTCCGCGATAAAAAGTATCCTTTATGTTGACCCGGATAACCAGCTATCACCATACCAAATTTCATCAAAATCCCTCCAGTGGTTTTTCCGTGATGACAGACAGACAGAGATAAATTCTAAAAACTATAGATTTAGCCTCTGTATCGATAGTAATGCTTTTTTCAATAAGAATTTCAAAAAAATATTTAATGTACAGATTTGGCTTAGTTACAATTTTATTAATTATGTATAGATTATTAATAAATAGTGAATAATTTTAACAATCCGAAATTCCGATAGTATAGTTAAACGGCTGTGACGTGCAAACATACGGAAATAGTGAAATTTTAACGGTTTCGTTTTAGCTATTTGGATACGGAACCTTAAAAAATTTCATAAGGGGGTTGATTTATTTAATTAAGCAGAGATTTTACACTTCTACTTATGCCCCAATATTTAATTACATGTAACTTTTCTTAAGTACTAATTATGTCGTTTCAAGTCGCCTATATTACTACAGTAAAATGTTTTCCTAAATAGGATCAGTAGTTCCATAGCTTACCTTTTTCAAACATCTTTTATTCTATTCAGCCCCTTTTAACGTCCCACTGCTGGGCACGGGCCTCCCTTCAATACGAGGAGGATCAGGCCACAGTCCACCACGCTGGCCAAGTGCAGGTTGGCGGACTTCACATGTCTTCCGAAAACTTGTTAGGTTCTCTCAGACACGTAGATTTTCTCACGATGTTTTCCTTCACCGTAAGCCAATTGGTAATCATGATAAAAATGATTCGCACATGAAAATATCAGAGGTGCGAGATCCGGGATTTGAACCAGCTTCATTCGGTTTCTCAAGCAAACGCCTTACAGCTGGGTTACCACTGCCTTATTTTCCAAGCGTACGTACATAAAAACAAATTATTTTTAACACTGTATAATTTTACAGTATTACAGTTCACCTGAGTAACAAACTGCTTCTCTGTCAGTTAGAGCAATTAATATTCGGGATTCCAACGCCAATCAAATACATTCCACACGCCACAATCTTATTTCTATTATTAAAATTGGATATTTTAGAGAAAATGAAACGTCTATTTCCTAATATTTATAATAAGCACAATTTTCACAATGTAATTATATATTTATAATTTGTTACGAGTATTACGAGTATATAACGATTTTCACAGTTAGATATAAGTCCCTCATTAGTTATTTATGTAGTAAACTAACGAATCACCCTCGGTCCGATGGGGTTCATCCCTTGGTACGTTTTATCGGTTGGCTTAGATTTCTCAGAGATGAGTTAATTTACCGCAGTAAAAAGTATCCTAAATGATGATCCGGATAACCAGCTATCATCATACCAAATTTCATCAAAATCTGTCCAGTGGTTATCTCGTAATGCGTTTCCAGACGGACAGATATACAAACAGGCAGACAAAAAATTCTAAAACTATAGATTCGACCTCTGTATCGATAGTAATGCCTATTTCAATAAGATTTTCCAAAAAATATTTAATGTATAGATTCAACTCAGTTACAATTTTATTATTATGTATAGACTAGAAAAATCTATTGTAGTACCTAATATGAAACTCTTAACTAACCGAAGGAGAAGTTTTAATTTACAGTAAGTAGTAAATATATAAAATACATAAAGCTTAAGAGTATTTTTTTGTTTGAACGCCCTGATCTCTTAAACAATCAATCCAATTAGAAAAAATATTTTTACTAAGTCTTTTTACTATTGAAGACTTATCATCCCTCTTCGATACATAGAAGCAAAGTAATTATATAAAATAAATTATGTAAGCAAAGACACGGGCTAAGGCTTGTATATTTATAATTGTTAAATTTACATAGTGGAAGGTAATACAGAGTAAAAAGGCAAATTTTTTGAACCCATTTTTCCCTAATAATATACGAAACCCTTAATTATGTATCTATATTATTATTTCAACTACATATTATATGTATATTATATCATGACATTTATTTGACAGGGCGAGCCTTGGTTGGATAGTGGCAACACAGAGGTATCTGCTCCTGATGACTTCGGTCTTCGCTCGAGTTGGCGCGCCCATCGCGTCCGGGTGACCACCGGAAAGGGCTCTATATCGGTCCGGTGTGAAGCGAACCAGCCCGCTCGACCACCGTATATCAGATCCACAAACGCAACTATTGTTGTTGCTCGGTCGCCCCATCTATCTATGTATACAGCATCTGGTACGTAAAATAATGTCTTGAAATCATTAAACACTCAAACATACGGGGATATTTCTTGTGAAATCGTCTAAATTGAGTTAAAAGTCCAAGAACTATGCTCCAAGCTCCATCTTTTTGGTTTGTTTCGCGCATTTATTTTGATTTTTAATTCCCAACGTTTCAAAATGCTTTACAGCACATATGATCACGGGGGATACTATAATTTTAGACGGCTTAAAAGTTATGATATAGTTGTTACAGACAGCATCCACCTAATTATACAATGACTTTTTTGTAATTTTTTCGCATTTTTATTTTTAAAATCATTAAATACTCAAATAAACGAGGATATATCTTGTAAATTCATCTAAATTAATTGAACGTTCATTTTTACAAAGATAAAAGTTCATGAATTATGGTTCTAACGACATGGCGTCTTTTGATTTAGCATTTAAGGTTATCAGTGATTTACGAAAACATTTTAAATTTCATCTAAATTTTGTAATAGCTAGGAGTTTTTTCTCTGACGAAAAAATGAAAAAGCGATTAATTCTAAACTAATTCTAATTCTAAACTAATTCTAATTCTAAACTAATTCTAATTCTAAACTAATTCTAATTCTAAACTAATTCTAAACTGTACAAATATTACAGTAGTAAATATATCTACTCTACATTGCATTTTAACATCCAGACATGACGTTTAAAATTATAAATTCGTTTTGCACGAACGAATACATACATACATATAATGAAAAAAAAAACCGATAGGTACGTACACCTATAGGTTTTTTTTCCTTTAACCCCATATCGCTTATATTTGTTTGTGTTTGAACTTTATTTATTTCACATAAGTAGAAAAATAAAAAACATCATTATGAGTATAACTGACTGACTTACTGCTTTACATCATTCATGGGTTTTAGCTTGATGAGAATCTAGTGTGGTATTGAAATTACCTAACAATAAGCATTATCAGACTTATTGTTCCCTCAATATACGTATTAAGCGTAAATTATATGGAGTGATAGTCAATACGTGCTTAGTTAATCATATTATATAGGATACAGGTGAAATAAATGTTATATAAAATTTAATTAACAAGTATGTAGAATATTTTATAAATGATGTGTGGTATACATTTATTAAAATTAAAACCAAAAACATAAAATTTGAAATATTTTCACAAAAAATATTTTTTATAATGCTTTAAATACACTTGATTGCAAAAACACAAAGCAGATGCAATAATTTTACCCCTTGGAAATTAGTCAAAATATCATTCCACGATTATTATTTTTAACTAGCAATCACCATACTAAATTTCATCAAAATCCGTACAGTGGTTTTCTGGTAATGCGTTCCCAGACAGACAGACATACAGACAAAAATTCTAAAAACTATAGATTTGGCTAGACTTTGGCTGGCTTTGGCTAGCTTTTGGATACCATCTGTATCGATAATAATGACTATTTCAATAAGGTTTTTCAAAAAATATTAATACTCTATGACAGTACCATTAAATTTATCATTTCATACAATTAAAAAAAAATGTTTGTAGAATAATATATTTTTATTAAAAAACGATTGTAGAATAATATAAATACTTATAACTTTTCATTTAGCTTCAGGGGCATAATAATGAGTCACAATTCATTTTTTACACAAAACTACAAGCGAGCAAATATACTCGTACAAAATCAATCAAAGACTTTCCAATATCGTTGTTAAATTCAAATTATTGACACGATGTTATTTCAATTTATATCAACTATTAATTCCTGTAGATTTGCTAAGCGTAAATTATGCATGTTTAATAGCTTGTGTGTAACGAATCAGAATTAAATTCAAATTATTTATTAATATAACATTTGCAATATATTTGTATATAATTTAGAATGATTTGGTGTTTAGGATACGAGTACATAATTCCTTTTGAAATTATAATTAATTGAATGTACATACATTCGAAAATGAGGTAAATAATTAAATTAAATATGTTGTGAAATTAACACACAGCAACATCTAGTTCCATGGTAAGCTACGAAGGCTTATGTTATGGATACCAGATAGTTGATACACTACATATATATAACTTTAAATACATACATATTATAAATATAAACACCCATGACTAGAGTACAAGCATTCGTGCTCATCACACAAATGAATGCCCCCAGCGAGACTCGAACAACAACAAGTAGGGTCACTACAAGTCACTACAAGGTACAACAAGTAGGGTCACTACAAACTGAACCAAACGTGTCGTCAGAATTTAATATCTTGTTAGTACTTAGCAATTATAGTAATACAAAACACGATCTCTTTGTTGCGAAATAATCATTCCACATAATATATATTTTTGGTAAATAGTTTAACAATGTACAAAAATTTTACCTCGGTATTAGAAGAAAATGTAGAACAGTTTGCATAAAATGTATTATTAATCTTGCGGAGAAGGAAAATATTGTGAGGAAAGACCCTAGGAAGTTTTCGAAAGACATGTGAAGTCCGCCAACCCGCACTTGGTCAGCGTCGTGGAGTGTGGACTATGGCCTGGTCCTCCTCGTATTGTAGGGAGGCCCGCGAACAGCAGTGGGACGTTAAAAGGGCTAAATACAATTAAATATTAATATGAGCATAGACCACCTATTGATTATTGATAATTCGATTGTTAGACCAATGGTAGTAGATTCGATTTTTGCACGGGGGAAATATTTAATTTATACGAGTATGATAAAATAATAACAAAGCAAAATCTGTTTATGAAATATTTTTAATAACAAACATTGTAACGTATAGTACAGAATAATATAAACCCCAAAAGTAACCCGAAAAGTCTGTAACAGCATATGTCTATCTCCTAAGGTACACTCGCAATAACTATTTTTATCTACTTAAAACGTACTTACGGATGCACCCGAGAAAAGCGAGTGTAACTCGCTAGTTAATAATATGTACCAATATTACTTCAGTACAGGTCTGCTAAGTAATTACTTTGTTCACAGGTTCGAGTTCTGCCAAGACAGCAGTAGTCCTGGCGTCGTGCATCTCATTACATATAATGTTTTCTAAATACAGTGCCTTGAGACAAGTGTAATGGATAGCATTCTGTAAATGTAAAAACGAATAGGTATAGTTAGGTAATTCTTCCACCCATACTGTGCTCTAATTTATTGTTATTTCATTTAATAAATGTAATTATAAGTCAAATTTTGCATTCAATATTTTTCCAATACGATACACGTATATTACCTACATTATGATATATGTATGTCTGTATATGAAAATGGAAAGCATTTATCAATTAATAATAAATAATAATATAACATAGTTATTGTAAAAGAACGTGCATATTTTACTTATGACAGTAACACGGGGTACTATATGTAGATGGCACTACAGTACGGGGTACTATATGTAGGGGGCAGAAGTTGTTAGCCACTAAGTGACGACAGATTGTAAAAACCTTGTATAACATAACTAAAGTTGGAGCTTAAAGCTTTCAGAGTTTTAGTTTCATATTTCTATTTTAAAACGTTTTATTTAAGCGATTTTACATTCTCTTTTAACTGTAGCTTTTTATTGCTATCTTAAAGGCTTTGTTCTGGCCCCGGCTGGTGCAGACAAAGGGTCTATTAAACACGAACTCGATACAAATGATGTCACTTTCGAGCGTAAATAATTCTTTTCAACTCTGTGACTTTGCTTAATTTTATAATTTACTATCGGTCATGCTTTTAGTTTTTATTCCATGGGGCAGTTATGTGCAATTTTCTTTGTCGTATCGTCAATTATCTTTAGTTCTTTTGTTATTTAATAATAATTTATCGAGTTTTATTTTTTTGAGTATAATAATGATTTATTTTTATATAATAATTAATGGCTACGCTGTGTTTTTATCTAAAATATAATTATTGTATAAGGTAAGTAAACTTTCACAAATAAAGTAAGGCTTAATTGATCATGTAAATAGCACTTTGTATTTTTTTTTTAATTTTAGCTCAGCATGGGTGGAAATATATTCGAATGTCAGAAAAAATATATTGAAAAAAAAAACTAAATTATTCTATAAATATAGCAAGCACTGAATTTCGATGTTTTATTACACGTAAATAAAAAAAAATGTAATTATATTTACATATGTGCAACATATGTACCACAAAGCTGGAAATGACGGAATATGTAAAATAAAATTAAAATGTGTTGATTAGAATGTGTAGGCGTTAGATTTGGGGACGATTCCTTCTAACGTCTATACAAATAGGGAAAAATTTTGCTTTGCAACGAAATGAACTATCGACTCTTTATGGGCCTCATTGTGTTAGTAGTTAATACTTGCCTTCTTATATTTTTTGTGTATATTTCATGTATAAGAAATTTGCTCATTTCTATCGAATGTAATTTTTTTAAATCCGTAATTTTAGTTTAATTAGTATATCTAGTTCTACATTTAATACTGCCTTTAATTAAATTAAGTGTCGTAATATCCAACCTATTTTATTATTCTTAACTATTAAATATTCATCTTAAGGTTAGATGTGAGTCAATCGGTCCATTTTTCACAAATAGTATGTTTAAATAATTTCTTTAAGTTCTAAAGTTTTTTGTTTTACATTTTTATATGATTTTAAAACCTATTTTTTTATATATTCGTATAATAAATACTTTTTAGTTTATAAATTAATTGGTTTTATATAATAATTATTTATTATATAATATCTGATTTCTAAAACTTTATACGAAATTTATAGTGATTTTTTTAAATGAAAAATAACTGAGTCTGTATATTTAGGTCAAAGTTAAGATATCTTCAGAACTCTTTATTGTAATAAAACATATAACATCCGAATTAAAGTCAGTCAGTGTCATTTGGCATAATACCATTTTACTATGATGAGAGGAAATTCACATCGAATTAAATTAAAATAGTATAAATGATGTAAAATATTTTTTCCAAAAAAAAACTTGTATAATAAAAAGGCCCGCTGAGTTCTTTTCAGCACTCTTTTTTAGGACTTACGCATTTTTTTCTAAACTGCTGGTAGACATTTTGACTAACAGCAAGTAATTAAATACTAATATTGAATAAAGAAATTAAATTTTATTTTATAGCTTAAAGTAAGTAAAATAAATGACTTGTTTTAAAAATATTTTATTTCGTAGAATAACCACTTTATTAACTAATTGGTTTTTAAAGTTGAGACTTGAGAGGTATAACATTTTATGAAATATGAATTTGTAAAGAAAAAATATTCTATACAAAAAAATAACCTTTATCATAAAATTAGAAGTCATAAAACCTAATTGCTATCCTAACTAACTTATTGTGCTAGAATGTACATATTTATTGAAAAATATATGTACATATTTTGAGCAGCGAAATTATGATGAATGCAAAACCACTGGCAGAGACTAGTATTAATAGAGCAAAATAATATTTATGCTCTTTGCTAATCAGGCTTTGGGATAAAGCTTAATAATTCTACGACCATTTGCTCATAATTTTAAAAAATCTTCATAATGTTGATTTCAGAACAATATAGATAAATATTTATGTAAAATATCTCATATGTAAATAAAAAATGTGGTTTTTAGGTCAGTACATTCTGAATTTGTACAATACATGCAACGGTGAGCAAACAGCGAACAAAAATTGTGTACCTTGTGAATAGCATCGCTCTATTGTATTACAGTGTAATATTAACGCATACTTTGGAATTTCAATGAGAATGGAGCCAAATATCTTTTGTTTGTATAAAAGAAAGTTTAAAAAATCTATAGACCCGCGTTCGACTCGTTCTTTTTTAGTTTCGGGCATTATTCTTTCCTGAATTCTGTGAAATAATTTAACTGTGTAAAAGGGAAATAATGAGATATTAAATTATATCATGTCTTAGAATCGTTCGGATATTCTCGATTCGCGTGATATCGGCAAATTAAGTCGTGCTTAATTGACATGCTTGTAAACCCTAAAACAAAAATATAATTTAATAGAACCATTTAATACCATTTTATGGAGCTATTTACTATAGGTTTATTATACTTATGTTTTTATAAACTTTCCATTTAAAACCTTTCGTTAAAAACGTAATTTTGGGAATCTTCCCAATATGTATTATTCAAAAGAACTGAAAATCTAATGAAATTACACTCGAATCTTTATTTTGTCTAGATATCTTTGTTCTAGATCTAGTTCACTTTACTTATTGTTATTTCAAAATAACATATGTATTTTCGTCACAAAGTTGTGAAACATGGACCGAAAAGCATTGTCGTGCCAAATTCTATACATAACGCTAAATTACTGTAAATATATGTATTTATTTATATATTAATGAAATAGGTACTAAATATCTAAATTAATGTAAGAATCTGTTTGTTTGGTTTGATTGTAGGTGACTAAGAGGTATATTACTAAAACAACTATGTATATATTCTTATTATACTATCAGGTCTTGTTGAGGGAAGCTTTATTTTAAAGATTTGAAATATAAATGTGAATGACCTAATTTTGTCGATGTCAAATATTATAATTTTACACAGAAAGATTGAATTGTTCTAAAAATATAGGTATATATAATAGCATATACAGCATGCACATTGTACATGGCATTGTGACAATAGTGTATAAACGGCTTATTATAATACCAATCCAGGCTTCAATTAATAAATATTCTCTACATGCTCCGTCTCTAAACTATCTTATTTTTTACTCTCAGGTTACGTTTAAATAATATTTTTTTTCTAAAAAAAATAAAAGTAGGAACATTAAGAAAACTCCCACTGGATACAATGAATAATCGGACATACGATTAATTTATTACATGTAAATATAAACATATACAAAAAAATATAACAAGTGGTAGGCTCAAGTTAAAAAAAATATACTGTTTTAGTAATATATTTCATATATGTATTGATTTTGTATCGTTTAGTTAATTGTGATCGTCCACCTTTGAAGTATAGTCAATTTCTAGCACTATCAAATTGTTCTGTGATACATGTGTTTGTTAGTTTGTACATTATATAATTATATATGTCATTGGGTGTCAAGTTCTTAATGGCGGCAAATAAACGTACATATGATTATGTAGTTTTATTATTATAATATTTTTCATTTACAGAAGCTTTTATCGTAACTAGCAGTACCCGCCGCTTCACCCGCGTTTAAGCTTTCGATTGCTACCAAACTTCACAAGATCACCCTTTTTCAGAATTCTGAAGAATGCCTGAAAATTTTATCAAAATCATTCCAGCCGTTTTGGAGTCCATAGGGAATGTACATACACACATTGTTTTTATATATGTAGCCTATGTTCAGTGGCGGACGAAAACAGGCTGACCATGATGATAATGACAATGATGATGGGAATAACGATGATGATGAACAATACAATTAATTTACTAGCATAAAGGGACTCACTAAAAAGTGAGCTAACTAAAATCCTTAGGTGGATATTTTTTTCATTGTAAATACTTGATAATATTAATATCGACAATAAATAATATATATATATATATATATATATATATATATATATATATATATATATATATATATATATATATATATATATAAGATAATATTAATAAATTAAAAGATAAGTAAGTAAAATAGAAAAGGGAGGGAGAGGCTACTGGATGATGACATGAGAGATATAATCTATTCTTTATCTGTCAAAAAATAATAACTATACAGATACCAAGCATACGCATTTGTACATTTCCTTTTTAATACTGTAAAATTTTTCTTGTCATAATTTTTTTTAATAATTATAAAAGAATATTTCTTTACTGCGCCCTAAAAAGGCGTCTTTTACATGAAAATTTTTTTCTGTGTTTTTCCTTCACTATATTAAGAAAATATTGGTAATAACAAAATTCACATGAAAATCTCAGACGAAAAATTTAGGGTTACAAGACAGATGACAGACAGACAAAAAATCTAAGAACGGTCTTAGTATCGATAATAATGACTATTTCAATAAGATTTTTCAAATATATCTAATGTACAGATAAAATTATTTATTAATTAAATACTTTTAGTGTGTCCAATAATTAGGAAAATTGTCCAGGTTCCTTTATACAAAAACT